CCACCCAGGGATTTTTAGGCGCCATCCGTTGTACAAACAATACTGCTGAACTGTCGGGGGCTATTGAAACAGGTTTGTGGCTCCTAGGATCCATTGCACCCTCAGGGCACAACTTCTTGGCCGCAGGCTCCGTGGTCGAGGTGGTCTTTGATTCCACGTACGTGATAGGCATCCTCGAGAACACCTTCTACCCTCAGCACAACCTCGTCCTCACCTCCCTGCTTCGCTTCGTCTGGGCCAAGGTCTTCCGCACTTTCAGGATCATCCTCTCCTGGATACGGGGTCACTCTGGCGTTTTGGGTAACCATATCGCTGATCGACTTGCTCTGGAAGGGGGAAACCCGACCTCGACTTCTCCTGTAAGGTGGTCTCGAGTCAGACCGTACCCTACGGGCCCGCTGGAGAGTGCCGATTTTTCCACTTTGTTACGCCAGAGCTCGATCCCGACAGACGAGCACCAGTATCTGTACAACCACGGCTGCACGGCGGCCGCGCGGACCCAAGTACCGTTCTTACTGTTCCACTGTGCCTGGGCCAGCCTCTTAGAGAAGCCGCGGGGGCAGCCGCTGCAGCCTGTGCGTATGGTCGAGGACATGCCCCCACCTGAAAGTAACCTGATCAGGAAAAACGACTCGGGCCAGCAGGTTCCCTCCTTGGGTGAGTTTACCGCTGCGGTAGCTGATGTGGCCGCAAGTTGTGGGCAGAAGAAAAGCCATGGCCCCCCTCGGACCCGGAAAGACCATCCGCTTCTGGTACAGGCAACGGCGACTAGGCAGGCTCGGGATGCTGAACAGGACCCTAGTGTTCGACACGTTCTAGGCATACGTCTTGTGGAACTACAACATAAGTTACAGGCAGAAAATCATCATCTCAAACATGAATACCTACTTAAACGGGGCCGGGTGGACAGGAGCTTTAGAGGCGGGACGGTGAAAGTTTTAAAGACGGCGCAGGGAGAACTTATCACTCAGGTGGAGGAGATGAGGGAGGAGGTGGCCCAGTTCTACCATGGATTATTCAATGATCAATCTTCCTTGGATGAGACCTTACCTAAATGGATCTGGCAGCAGTGGCCGAGGGAGGCAGCCGCGAACCTCCCTCACCAGTTTGATGCTGCTCTTCTTCGTAAGTGTCTGGCTCGCATGAAGCCAGGCAAGTCTTGCGCTCGGGACGATTGTGTAGTATCTGAGATGTTGCAGGAGTTGAGCAATGAGACTTTAGACTTGTTAGGCGAGATTTGTACCTTGCGTCTGTTGAACCACCCGAGCGAGCAGCATGACCCCTTCTTCTCACGCCACCAGGTGTCGCTGGTGGCAAAGTTCTGGGGTGCATGTAGAGTTTCAGATTTCAGACCCATCGCGATCTTGTCCAGTGTCCTCAAGTTATACTCGATGTGTGCGGGAGCCCTCGTCGATTTCCACGAACAGCCCCTCTCCCAGGCCCAATTCGCTTTCAGGAAAGGCTTCCAGGTCCACGAAGTGGTTTCGACGACTCGTCTTCTGGTGGAAAAGGCCAAGGCATTTCAGGGGCATCTGTATATGGGGGTGGGGGATTTCCATAAAGCCTATGATCATGTTCCTCATGCCCTTATCATTCGTAACCATCAACGACGTGGCATCCCTCGTATTGTTACTGCTGCTTGGCTTCGCGAAATTCGAGGAAGTGTCTCCGAGATGCTCCTGCCAGGTCTTCCCCCGTCTAGACCAGTTTCCCGCAGCCGCTCCCTTCTGCAGGGCGACCCTGAGGCACCGTTCCAGTTCTCTCTCTTCGCAGACGACGCCGTCCGCGAGTTTGAAGATCGCCGCGCTCGTGAAGGCTGGGGTTACCCGCTTCAGGCCGAGGACTTAGAGATCATGAAACAAAATAAAAGACGACGTAAGGACTTGAAGATAGACCGCCTCAGCCTGCTGCTTTTTGCCGATAACTATTATGTCTGTGCATCTTCCCCTGCCATGCAGACCCAGATGATGGAGGCTTGGCATTTCATTTTGCGCCGCCGCTATCGTGTAGTCATCAAGCACCACGAGTGCTACTGGATCACGACGGCAGATAATTCAAACTCTGCAGTGATCACGCTCTCGGAGGGAAGGGTGACTCGTATACCGCGGGAGGAGGGTATTAAGATGTTGGGAGCTCATGTTTCTTTCGACGGCAGCGCGAGCACGGCCGTCCAGAAGGGTATTGCTCGTGCGTGGGCATGTTTTGCGAAGAATAAAGCCTCGCTGTGTGCGAGGCGCGCTCCTCTGGGGAAAAGGATATCTCTGTTAGACCGCGCAGTTAAAGCGGCCGCATTCTTTTGTTTCGGGTCATTATTATTTACGAGAGCTCACCTTGCCCAGATACGTGCCGCCCAGTTTAGAATGCTCCGCTACATGATCCGCGTCCCCAAGGATGACCAGGAGGGGGTTGAGGACTACATGAAGAAAACACACCGTCGTATCCGAGAGGCCCTGGAGAAAAGTGGCTCGACCCCGTGGGACCACCATGTTCTTCTTCTGAACTATTCTTGGGCTGGACATATCATGCGTATGGAACATTACGATAAACAGCGCTATGTTTTCAAGGCTTGTCAATATAAGAACTATGAATACCTGTGCCACCTGAAAGAGCTGATCGGTTCCCAGGGCCACCAACGAAATTTCCATGCGTGGAGATGGGAAAAGCAGTTTTACCAGTATTTCGACACCCCGCTGTGGAAACACCACACCCAGAACCTCGAGGAGTGGCAGGCGTCATCATTGGCCTGGCTGGACTGGCGCCTCAAGGACATGGGATGCTCAAAAGAGAAGCGTGGGAGGGGTGGTTGGGGGGACAGTTGGGTGTACTTACAGATGGCCGAATTCGCCAGGCTTCAGGCGTCTTTACCCTAATCTTCTTCTCTCAGTCTGCTGTTTTGCGCCCGTCTCAACCCACCTTACATTATGTAGCGTCTCTGTTTGTCGGCTAGGGCCCTGGTGCTACCGTTCCGAATGCCGAGAGTAGTAGTAGTAGTAGTCGTTCGTCGTCGTCGTCGTCGCTCGTCGCTCGTCGCTCGTCGCGTCGTGCGCGCGGGCGCGGCTGACTTGCCGGAGCCACACGGAAGGGGGGGGGCGTTACGTCATGCCCCCCCCCGTTTTCTCCCCCCCTATGACACCCGCCATCGCCGAACATAAAGAAACGCGCCCCGAGCTAGAACTTGAGCGCGCGCGAAGCGCGCGCGATGGTTTTTTTAGTATATTTTTAGGAATAAGCATATTTACATATATATGTATGTATGTATGTATGTATGTATGTATGTACACATATATGTAGATGTGTATATATATACATAACTATATATCATGTGTATGTGCCGCTGTATATACATATATAAAGCACACATGGGTATATATTTATATATGTATGTGTGACATGTGTTTACCATGCATATACACAAACACCGGCATGATGCCGAAAGCCAGGACGATGGGGACAACTTGCTCTGGGTGTGCAGGTGCTGGTTGCGAGGCGTACAGGGGCGAATGTGTGAGTTGTTGTTCCGGAGCTTGGATTGCAGCTGTGCCCGCGCCGACCGAGCGACCGAGCTTCCACTCTTTGTTCGGATATCGTTTTCCTAAACATTGATTGAAAACGGCCCCACTTTATTGGGATAGTGCTCTCAGAAGCGCTGGAGGAAAATTGCCCAAGGCGCGCCCGTGACAAGAGTCTGCTGGGGCGGCGGGTTCTGTCTGCCCGAGGTGGGGCCAGCAGCTGACGGCCAGTCTCATCAGGTATTTTGTTCGCCTGGACAGTTATATGCATGTATGTATCTGGGCATCGCTCGGGCGTGTGTATTTCCCTCGGCGAGGACCACCAAGGGCACGAAACCGAAACATGCACGGGGAATGGGCGTCCGAGCGAAGGCAGGGCATATGCATACACATACACTCACACATCACACGTGCACACAGACGCACACATACATAGCAACATATATAGGCACATGTAGTTATGTATGCACATATGCGCAAGCATATACACATGAACGCATATGCACATGTAATGATGCCCGCACGTCTGTACGTATGTATGCGTGATTGCATGCATGTGTGTATGTATGCATGTATGTGTGTGGGCATGTGTGCATGAGTATGTGTGTAGTTTTGTGTTTGTATATATGTATGCATGTATGCACGCATGTATGCATGTGTATATATATGTATGCATGTATACGTGTGTGTTTATGTGTATGTGTGGTTGTATGTGTGTTTGTATGTATTTATGTATGTATGTATGTATGTATGTATGTATGTATATGGATGTAAGTATGCACATGGTTGTGTACGTGTACATGCGTATGTATATGCATACGTAATTGCATACGTAAGTGCGTATGCTTTTGATAGATAAGTATATGTGTATACAATTATGGGTGTGAAATAATATGTGTAGTTGTAGACGTCATGTATGTGTTTATGCATGTGTGTAGGTGTATGTGTATGTAGTTGCGTGTATATAAGCATGTGTGTTTCAATATTTATGGGTGTGTGTGTGTGTTTGTGTTGTGTGCGTGTGTGCGTGTGCGTGCGTGTGTGCGCGCGAGTGTGTGTGTGTGTGTGTGTGTGCGTGTGTGCGTGCGTGCGTGCGTGCGTGCGTGCGTGCGTGCGTGCGTGCGTGCGTGCGTGTGTGTGTGTGTGTGTGTGTGTTTGTGTGTGTGTGTGTGTTTGTGTGTGCGTGCGTGCGTGCGTGCGTGCGTGCGTGCGTGCGTGCATGCGTTCGTGTGTCGCTGTGTAGGGGCCCTGCCGGGGTCCTGGGGAGTCCTTTCGGGAGCCCCTCAGGCAGACCACCTCCGAGCCGCCCCCCGCCTTCTGCAGAGAGGCCCCCCCGCCTTCTCCCGGAGAGGCCCCCCCCCTCGCGCCGCCCCCCCTCTTACCTCCTCCTCCTCCTCCTCTCCTCCTCCTCCTCCTCTCCTCCTCCTCCTCCTCCTCCTCCTCCTCCTCCTCCTCCTCGCGCCGCCCCCTCGGACTGCGCTCTTCCCACAGGAGCGCGGCCGCCTGTGCGAGCGGCGCCACCGGGTGCTCCAGCAGTCCCTGGAGGCCTCCTCTCGGCGGCGAGCGAGGGGGTGAAGTGCGAGGGAGAGGGCCCTCCCAGAAGGCGGCGGGGCTTCTCAGAAGGCCTCCCCGGCCTTTGAGAGGTTTTTTCTGTGCCCTCGGGGGAGGCCTAACTAGAGTTAGAGGCCTTCTCCGAAGGGCGGGGGCCTCCGAGCCTTCTGAGAAGGTCCGCTCCTTCTCGGGTGTTGCTCGAATTGCCCCTAGCCGAAGGTGCCCCCAGGATTTCCAGGGAGGTCCCCACGGCCTCCTGAGCACCCCTCACGAGGCCCAAAGGGCCCAGGAGGAGGAGGAGGAGGACGAGGAGGAGGAAGAGGATGAGAGGGAGGAGGAGGAGGAGGAGGAGGAGGAGGAGGAGGAGGAGGAGGAGGAGGAGGAGGAGGAGGAGGAGGAGGAGGAGGGAGAGGAGCAGGAGGAGGAGGGCGAGGAGGAGGAGGAGGAGGAGGAGGAGGAGGAGGAGGAGAAGGAGGAGGAGGAGGAGGAGGAGGAGAAGGAAGAGGGGCTCCAAAATTGAGCGGAAGTCTTGGGCACCTCGGGCCAGGGGCACCTTTCAGCACCTGTCGACCTTCTCCCTTCCCCCCCTGGTGCTCGCCGCCGGTCCTCGCTCGTCGGTGAGCGGCTGGCGTCTAGGGCCGCGGCCTGGGACGAGGCCCTCCAGAGCCTCGGGGGCGACTGCGAGGAGACGCTGCGCTCCTGTGGCCGGCGGGCGGATGCGGCGCTGGCCGCCAGCGACGAGGCTTGGCACGGTCGAGATGGGCACGGACAGAATTCTGGCATCGCTCGGAGGTGTGCATTTGATCTTGGCGGGGGTCATTGAGGAGCATCCTGGATCATCCTGCGAGAAGAGTGCGCACGGAGCCGAAAGGTGCACGGGGAATGGACGTCCGAGCGATGGCGAGGCACGGGTACGAAGACCGACGGCATGTCTTAGTCGTTTTGAGCATGACTCGCAGTCTATTCGAGACAGGAGGCCGCCTGCCCAAGAGCGGCCGCTGCCGCTCTTGGATAGCACAATGCTGTCGGGCATCGTGCCCATTTTTTCCGGGCCCATGTCGGGCGCCCGAAGAGGCCAGGCGCGCGGAGCTGGCGCAGGCCCTGGCAGAGTGGCACGAGCTGGTCCGACCGGGGCGGGCCAAGCTCGCCGCGAGGCCAACGGGGCCCGAGGGGGGCATTTTCGCATGACTTGTTATCGGAGTCAGGGGCAGGTCCACTATATTACGTTCTGTTTGTTAACCACCTGGTGGCACATAGCGGCCCAAACACATTGTTTATGGGTGTATATATATGTATATGTATATATATATATGTGTATATGTATACACCATTTTCCACATAGTCCATAGTCCAACGCCTGTCGCCTGGAGAACTGGCCAAACAATTATACATTAAACGTTGCCCTGCAGCGCCTTTGCGAAGCCCCCTGGACCCCAAGATCCTCACATACCGATCTGACTCGAGAATCGACGCGCCAAGATGGGGTCTGTGGCTCCAGTGGTGATTGTTTACGGTGTCGCATTTTCGCTCGGAACGTCAGATCTGTGGGTTAGGGGTTGGAGTTTTTCGGGCGTCTTCTGCAGTTCCCGGCGGTTTCCCAGCCCAGGGACGCTCTTTAGCGGCTGCGCGCCGCCGAGAGCGTGCTGGGTGTGCCCAGATCGTCCTTCACGGCCGCCGGAAAGCCGAGTAGGGCTCGAGAGCGAGGGGGGGGGGGAGGGAGGGCGGGGGGGATGGAGACGGAGGCAGGACGGGGGGAGGGGGAAGGGAGGGCACGGCAGGGAGTAGAGGAGTGCAGGGAGGGGCAGAGGGGCAGGGGGGAGGGGGACCGTTTTTTGAGACGAGCAATGGACGCAGCGGCAGAGCGGAGCGGAGAGGGAGGAGCGGTGCCAGACAAGCTCGCACCCCGCACAGCGGCCGCCCGCCGGGGGCGAGGACTCTGACACGGGACCTACATGCAGGCATGGCGGAGCGGCGTCCTGCCTACCGCCCGCCTCCCCCCGCCAACGAGGAGGAGCAAGTAGTAGTAGTAGTAGTAGTAGTAGTAGTAGTAGTAGTAGTAGTAGTAGTAGTAGTAGTAGTAGTCGTAGTCGTAGTCGTAGTCGTAGTCGTAGTTAGTCGTAGTAGTAGTAGTAGTGTAGGTAGTAGTAGTAGTAGTAGTAGTAAGTAGTTCGTCGTAGTCGTAGTAGTAGTAGTAGTCGTCGTAGTCGTAGTAGTCGTCGTTAGTAGTCGTAAGTAGTAGTAAGTAGTAGTAGTAGTCGTAGTAGAGTAGTAGTTAGTAGTAGTAGTAGTAGTCAGTAGTAGTAGTAGTAGTAGTAGTAGTAGGAGTAGTAGTAGTTAGTAGTTAGTTCTTAGTAGTAGTAGTAGTAAGTAGTAGTAGGTAGTCGTGTAGTCGTAGTAGTTCGTGTATTGTAGTTAGTAGTAGTTAGTAGTCGTAGCTAGTCGTATTAGTCGTAGTCAGTCGTCGTAGTAGTTGTAGTCGTTAGTAGAGTAGTAGTAGTAGTAGTAGTAGTAGTAGTAAGTAGTAATAGTCGTAGTAGTCAGTAGTAGTAGCAGTAGTAGTAGTAGTTAAGTAGTAGTTAGTAGTAGTAGTAGTAGTGGGGTTTTTTGTGAGTAGTAGAGTAGTAGTCTTAGTAGTAGTAGTAGTAGTGTAGAAGAGTCGTAGTAGTAGTTAGAGTCGCAGTAGTCGTAGTAGTAGTAGTAGTAGTATTAGGCGTCGTAGTCGTAGTCGTAGTCGTAGTCGTAGTGCGTCGTAGTCGTCGTCGTCGTCGTCGCGTTGCGTCGTCAGGTCGTTACGTAGTAGTAGTAGTAGTAGTAATAGTAGGAATAGTAGTTACTAGTAGTAGTAGTAGTCGTAGTAGTAGTAGTAGAGTAGTAGTTAGTAGTAGTAGTAGTAGTAGTAGTAGTAGTAGTAATAAGTAGTAGTAGTAAGTAGTAAGTAGTAAGTAGTAGTAGTTAGTAGAGTAGTAGTAGTAGTAGTAGTAGTAGTAGTAGTAGTAGTAGTAGTAGTAGTAGTAGTAGTAGTAGTAATAATAGTGGTAGTCGTAGTCGTAGTCGTAGTCGTAGTAGTCGGAGTCGTAGTGTTAGTCTTAGTCATAGTAGTAGTAGTAGTAGTAGTAGTAGTAGTAGTAGTAGTTGAAGTAGAAGTAGTAGTAGTTGTAGTAGTTGCAGTAGCAGCCGTAGTAGGAGTAGTAGTAGGAGTAGTAGTAGTAGTAGTAGTATTAGTAGTAGTCGAGTAGTAGTAGTAGTAGTAGTAGTAGTAGTAGTAGTAGTAGTAGTAGTAGTAGTAGTAGTAGTAGTGGTAGTGGTAGTGATAGTAGTAGTAGTAGTAGTAGTAGTAGTAGTAGTAGTAGTAGTCGGAGTAGACGTAGGAGTAGTAGTAGCAGCAGTAGTAGTAGTGGTAATCGTAGTAGTAGTAGTAGCAGTAGTAGTAGTAGTAGTAGCAGTATTAACAGTAGTAAGTAGCAGTAGTACTGGTAGTAGTAGTGGTAGTAGTCGTCGTCATAGCAGTAGCAGTAGTAGCCGTAGTGATAGTAGCGGTAGTAGTGGTAGTCGTAGTAGAAGAAGTCGTGGTAGTAGTAGTAGCAGTAGTAGTAGTAGTAGTCGTCGTAGTAGTAGTAGTAGTGGTAGTAGTGGTAATAGCCGTAGTAGTAGTAGCAGTAGTAGTAGTAGTAGTTGTTGTAGTAGTAGAAGTAGTAGTGGTAGTAGTAGTAGTAGTAGTAGTAGTAGTAGTCGTAGTAGTAGTAGTAGTGGTAGTAGTAGTGGTAGTAGTGGTGGTGGTGGTGGTAGTAGTGGAGGTAGTAGTAGTACTCGTAGTCGTAGTAGTGGTAATCGTATTTGTAGTAGTAGTTGTAGTAGGTGTAGTAGTAGTAGTAGTAGTAGTAGTAGTAGTAGTAGTAGTAGTAGTAGTGTAGTGTAGTGGTAGTAGTATAAATCGTAGTAGTAGTAGTAGTACTACTACTGCCAGTACCAGTCGAAATAATAGTACTAGCAGTACTAGTACTACTAGTGGTTTTTAGTAGTGCGAGTAGTGCTAGTAGTAGTACTGGTAGAAGTGATGGTGGTAGGTGTAGTATCAGTAGTAGTCGCAGTCGTAGTCGTAGCCGTTGTCGTCGCAATTGTAGCGTTAGTCGTCGAAGTAGTAGTAGTAGTAGTAGTAGTAGTAGTAGTAGTAATAGTAGTGGTGGTAGTAGTAGTAGTAGTCGTAGCAATAGTATTCGTAGTAGTAGTAGTCGTAGTAGTAGTAGTAGTAGTAGTAGTAGTAGTAGTAGTAGTAGTAGTAGTAGTAGTAGTAGTAGTCGTAGTTCTAGTAGTACTGGCGGTAGTAGTAGTAGTAGTAGTAGTAGTAGTAGTAGTAGTAGTAGTAGTAGTAGCAGTAGCAGTAGCAGTAGGCGTTGGAGTAGTAGTAGTAGTAGTAGTAGTAGTAGTTGTTGTTGTTGTAGTAGTACTCGCAGTAGTGGTCGCATCAGTAGTAGAATTGCCGTGGTAATCGCAGTAGCAGTAGTATCAGTCGTAGTAGCATGGGAAGTAGTAGTAGTAGTAGCAGCAGTAGTAGCTAGTAGCTGGCACCTAGCAGCTAGCAGCCAGAAGCTGTCGAAGTAGTAGTAGTTGCAATAGCCGTAGTGGTCGTAGCAATGGTAGGAATATATTAGTCGCCGTCGTAGCCGAAGTAGTCGTAGTCGTACGTATTGTCGCAGTCGTTGTATTATTGGGAGTAGTACTCGTAGTAGTAGCAGAGGTGGTAGTAGTAGTCGTAGTAGACGTAGTAGTAGTAATGGTAGTACTAGCGTGTGTCGTCGTAAAGTCATCGTAGTAGTAGTGGCACTGGTAGCAGTCGTCATAGTAGTAGTAGTAGTAGCCGTCGTATAAGTAACTGGCTTAGTATTATTATTAGTAGTAGTAGTAGATTGGGAGGGAGCAGAAAGAACTAATAGTAGTAGTAGTAGTAGTAGTAGTAGTAGTAGTAGTAGTAGTACAGGTAGTGGTCGTAGGTAGTTGTAGTAGTATGGCCAGCAGTAGTAGTGGTAGTAGTAGTAGTAGTAGTAGTAGTAGTAGTAGTAGTAGTAGTAGTAGTAGTAGTAGTAGTAGTCGTAGTAGTAGTAGTAGTAGTAGTAGTAGTAGTAGTAGTAGTCGTCGTAGTAGTCGTAGTAGTCGTAGTAGTATTAGGAGCAGTAGTCGCAGTCGTAGATGCGATGGTAATCGTGTCGTAGTCGTATCAGTCGTAGCAGTCGTAGCCGTAGCACTAGTATTCGTCGTAGTGGTGATCGTAGTAGTGGTACTAGGGGTAGAAGTAGTATTAGTAGTAGTAGTAGTCGTAGCAGTAGTAGTAGTAGTAGTAGTAGTAGTAGTAGTAGTAGTAGTAGTAGTAGTAGTAGTAGTAGTAGTTAGTAGTAGTAGTAGTAGTAGTAGTAGCAGTAGTAGTAGTAGTAGTAGTAGTAGTAGTAGTAGTAGTAGTAGTAGTAGTAGTAGTAGTAGTAGTAGTAGTAGTAGTAGTAGTAGTAGTAATAGTAGTAGTAGTAGTAGTAGTAGTAGTAGTAGTAGTAGTAGTAGTAGTAGTAGTAGTAGTAGTAGTAGTAATCGTAGTGGTAGTCGTATCGTAGTCGTCGTTCGTCGTCGTCCGTAGTCGTCGTCGTCGTCGTCGTCGTCGTCGTCGTCGTCGTCGTCGTCGTCGTCGTCGTCGTCGTCGTCGTCGTCGTCGTCGTCGTCGTCGTCGTCGTCGTGGTCGTCGTCATCGGAATAGTAATGGTTGACGCTTCGCGTGTCCCCACCAGCTCATCCAGAACCGACGCCCCGGAGAGCTGACGGGGGGAGAGAGGAAGAGACACGCGTAGTTTATCAGCGAAGGTGGCTTGGGAGGCGCAGTGGCCATCTCGAGCCGTCTTGGAGCGGTCTTGGGGCCGTTTGGAGCATCTTGGACGCCATCTTGAGCCAGCTTGAGCTATCCGAGCCATCTTGGAGGTCACCTTGGGCTCTTTGAAGCCGCTCGGGGGCCTATGGGGGGCCTTTTTTTTCTGGTGCCTCTTGGAGGCCTGGGGCTCCTCGGGGCGCTCGTTGGGCCCCTCTTGGGGCTCTCTTGGGAACCCTGGAGGCCCTCTTGGGGCCATCTTGGAGGCTATCGATCAAAAGGGGGCTTCCTTGATCTCCGTCCCCCGCTCGGGGGCCACGACCCTCGTGATCGGTGGCAAAAAAACCTCCCAGGGGCCGAAAAAGAACGCACTGCCTCGTCGCGACCGCCCAAACAAACCTCAGGGAGGGGAGGGGGACGGTTCCCTCCGAAGGGAAGAAGGGGTTGTGGAAGAGGAAAGAGACCCTCGTTAGACCACCTGTCGCCCAAGCGGCTGCTGGGATTTTGCCCATTCGCCTTTGTCGGCCCGAATCGTCGCGAGCGGCCCACGAGGCCCCACACGACCCCCAAAAGGGCCCCAAGACGACCCAAGAGGTGCCCAAGACGAGCCCAAGATGCACCCAAGACGGCTCCAACACATACCGAACAGGGGGAAGTCGGAGTGAGGGTCCGAGCCATCTGCCCCCAGATAGCTCCAAGGGCCCCCTAGGAGGGTTATGTTAAACAGGTTGTTTTGGGAATCCTCCCCAAAACCTTCCTAAACGTTTCTCCTGGAGGGTTGCTGGAATGTTTCTTGAACGAAGAATCCTCCCAACAACCTTCTGTAACACCTTCCTCTGGAAGGTTTTTGGGAGCTGTTTGGAAGGGGTATCTTTGGTGAAAAAATCCTAAAACCGTCCCCAAGGAAATGGTTGGACGTTTTTTTTTTGTTTTTTTTTTTTTTGTTTTGATTCCTGGTGCTAAGCCTTCCTAACACCTTCCGCAGGAAGGTTGTTGCAAGGATTTTGAAGGACTCCTCTTGGGAACCTTCCGAACACCGTTACCGAGAAGGTTGTTGCGAGGTGTTTGGGGGAATCCTGTTTGAATCCTTTCTACATTCAAATAGGTTTCTTGTTTGGAGGTTTTTGGGTACATCCCGTTAACAAAAGTTCTTACCACTTTCCTCTGGAAGTTTAGTTTGTTGTTCCGTTGCAGGTTTTCGGGAAGGTGTTGGGCAGGTTGTTGCAAGGTTCGTTGAAGGTGTTTGTATGTTTTGTTGTTTTTTGTTGTGTGTGTGGGGGGGGGGGGGGTAAGATTGTGGGAGCGATTTTGAACAGGTGTTGGAAGGTTATTGTGAGGTATTTGAACATTTGTTGGTAAGATATCTGGGCGGCGTTTTGAATGTATTTTGCGATTTCGCTAAATGTTGGAAGGCTTATTTTGGCAGGTGTTTGAAAAGGCTGTTGGAAGGGTTTCGGAAAGATTCTATCAGGATGTTTAGAAGGCTTTTGGGAGGTTTTCTATAAGATTTCCTGTAAGTGTTTGGGTTGTTTTTGGAACAAGTCAGTGTGTCTGGGGAGGTATGGAGTGCACCCGTAAGGTTCCCTCTCGACCGCCAACGACGACATCGACGACGACGTCGACAACGACGACGACGGCGACGGCGTCGACGACGACGACGCCTGGCTCGCCCCGCCGCCCGAATAGCTCGCGGAAGGCACCGCGGAAAGGGTGGAAAGGCCAGGGCACGCAAGCTATCAGGCCACGACGACGTTCACGACGACGACGATTCAGACGACGACGACGATGACGACGACTACGACGACGACGACGATCACAGGGCGCTGGGACAAATGTCGGCCTCCTGGAGTGACCGTTGCGTTTTGGCTCCGGGCTGAGGTTGCCCGTCGGGCCCTTGTACATCCTTTCGCTTTCGATTACCTCCGCTCTCCCTTTGCCTTCGACTTCAGAGGTTGTCCGTCGGGCCCTCTCACAGCTTTTCATGATGCACATCGTCGGGCGGCGGCTCTTCTACTTGTGGCCGGAGAAACACGCCTGCCTGGCCGACGCGGCCGCGCACGTCCACGACGCTGCGCAGAGTTGCAGCCGCGACCTTCTCTTTTTCAAGATTCCGACCGGGTATGGTCGGGGCCCGTCCAGCTCGCCAAAGGACGGAACAGCGCGTGCAGAGTACACCTTTTTCAGCCAGGGGTGGACCTAAACGGTGTTTTGGCGATTTCGTGGGCCGTTTTCGTTTCGATGTCGTTTTGCGTTAAAGACAGACGGGAGACAAAACGAGGGAAGACTACAACAAAACGAAAACGGATTACACCGTTTAGGTTCAGCCTTGCATGCTTTCGGCCCCCACGGCAGACCAGGCTGCCGTGGCGCAGATGACTTTGATCCGGCTCGTCCGCGACGGTCCGCAGCTGCGCAAGAAGGATGCCCAGGGCAAGCCTCGTGCGGCAGCGGCGTGGTCGCAAGGCGGTTCGCCTGCGCGGCCCATTCGCGCCCGTCGCGACGTCGCGCTGATGGGCCTCGTGGAGCTCGGCGAGTACGACGTGGCGCAGGCCCTAGACAGCACGGTCGCAGCGATGCGCCCCCGTCTCGCGGGCGAATCGAGAAGCCAGCGGCGCAATATTGGTACGGCGCACGTGGCGAGGGTGACGACGCAGTTGCGGTCGGCCGGCCCCGTTGTCTCGAACGCGCTCTCGCGGGAGGTCTTGCCTGTGGCGCCCCAGGCGAACCCCGCGGGGAACCGCCGAAGCCTGCCCGATCCTTCGCCAGGGCGCCGCTGGATACTAGCAGCAGCGACCTGGCGAAGGCCGAACTCCAACCGGGTTTGGGCGACGCAGAACAGCCTGCGCAGTTTAAAATTCGTTGACTTCTCGAAGAGCTCGGCTTCGAGGAAGGGGGGGTTCAAAGCGACAGGCGCCCCATTTTCGTCGCGGCTGCAAGCTTCTAAGACGAGCGCGCGTGGCGTTCGGGCGACAGCTCCTTCCTGAAAACGACCTGCGCCCCGGCGCTGTCGCGGCTGCGAGTTGTCGCGGCGGGCGCGCGCGGCCGCGGGGGCGAGGGCTCCGCTTTGAAAGCCATTTGCGCACCATCATCGCTGTCACTGCAAACTGGCAAGGCGACCGCGCGCGCCCGCGATGGCGAAAAGTCCGTTATGATCGCCGCCTGCGCTCCGTCGCCGCGCCCGCTGCAAGTTGTCGCGGCGAACGCGCGCGGCCGCGAAGCGAACGCGCGAGGCCGCGAAGGCCAGAGCTCCGTTTCGAAAGCCGCAGCCCTTCCGTCCGCGCAGCGGTTCCAGCTCTCGAGCGAACGAAGGTCGAGTCGAACCGCCCGCCTCGCCCGACCGACGCGCCTCTCGGGGCGCCACAGGGAGGGGCCAGGAGTAAAGCAAAACGATGGAGGAGGAGGAGGAAGAGGAGGGGCGCCAGGCACGATGCAGGCCCAGGCGGTTTGAACATTTTTTCTTCGCCGAAGCAACGAGTGGCATCTTTGGGTAATCCGCCGCGCAGGAAAACTATGTGTATTCCATTCAAAAAGAATGAGTTTCCCTATTATCGTTGTGCTTCACCCCGGAAGGGATTGTTTTGGTTGCACATATATATATATGTACATGCATACATAAACTAGGTGTGATATAGATACAACTCTACATATATATACATATAAGCTTACACATCCGTACGCATATACATATACAAAAGTATACGTATACATACATATGTATATATGTATAAATATTGCATATATCTATATAGTGGAATGCGTTACCTAACCAGGTGAATGACCCAAACAGTGGCGCGAACTTCAACCTGTGATTCCGCGGGCGCGAGTTGCTCCGTGATTTCTATAACGAACGGATCTCGCATATGACCACCGACCACATGACTGTCAAGTTCACGCCGCAGATCTCGGGCGACATCGCCGACATGATCGCGCACTGCCGCGACGCAGGCAGCCTCGTCGAGTTTCAGGGGCCGTTCTGTTTCTCCGACGTCTAAAACCTGTTGATAGCCCCCGCCGCATCGGATGTTATCGGCAGGCAACCTGAAGTACACGAACATCGGCGACACCACTTCCACTTTGGACCCGTCCGCCTTCATCTGGCTGCGCGTCGCCACGAACGATGGCATTGAGAAGGAGGCCCGAGGTGGCGCGTTCAACTGCGGCTACGGCTTCGAACAAACCAACCACCTCGCATCCGTCGCGCGTGACCCCTCGGCGCGCTGCACCCCGAACGAGATCGCGTTCGCCTTCCAGGTGTTCATTGCTCTCACGATGGTCACCAGCGCTGTGCTCACGAATCGGACAGGCATCATCACGACCCAGGAGAAGAAGCTCGTCCGTTCCGCGCTCGCGAGCGACCTCAGCGAGATCATCTCGAAGGGCATCTCCACAGGCGTGACTTCCGCTTCGGCGGCTGGCGTCGTCAGTAAGAGCACATCGACAGCTTTCGCCAGCCTAAGAAATTGGTTGACTGAATGCTGAAGTAGTGGTTTTTGGAGACCTGAGACCATTAGTCCGCTTCTCGGTGGCAGCATACGGTGCTCCCGGCGTGCTCAGCTGCAGTTTGATCAATGCAAATTGGAGACGAGAGGCTCGACTGCTGGTTCGATTGCTTGCGGCACATATATATATATATATATATATATATGTTATATCGCGCCAGTTCCATTTTTAGTGTTCAAAGATTGCCGGCGTAATATCGAGTCTGGATAGCACAGCAATTCCTACGTGGCGGAATGCAAAAGAAAAAAATATTCTCGATGTGGCGGGGTACGAAGGATTTCTTCGTGGCATAATGCAAAAGCATTCTTCCCGTGGAGAAATATAGCGATAATGCTTAGGTAGCAGTTTTTTATATAAAAAAGAAGTTTCTTTTTTGGCGGAATACACATGGAATCCCTTTTTCTGGCCGAGTACACACGGGCCCACCTTGAAGCGGAATGCAAATCGATTCTCGTTGCGGCAGAATGCCAGCATATTTTTTTGGTGGCGGATGGTGGATTGGTAAGGAATTCTTTCTGTGGCAGAAAGGGGATGTTCTTGTGGTTGATTGCTCAGGGACTCTTTGGTTGTGCCGGAAGACAACGTGATTCCCTCTGTGGCGGATTACAAGACGAGTTTTTTCTGCGGTGGGGCACCGGCGGAATTACTTTCTGGTCGATTACCTATGGGTCCCTTTCTACGTCGCGGAAAACACAGGGCATGTTTTTCCCCCCAACCATCCTGTGGCGTTGGGTCCTCGCTATGAAGAGGCAGCGCCCCGCGTCACTCACTCCTCCTTGCCCTCCTCCTTCCTCCCTACGTCTCACCCACCCAATGCAGCGCGTCGTGGTCCCATAGGGGGCTCCACCGAAGGCCCCAGTGTTACCGCCCGCTTGCGTCACGAACGCCAATGTCGGCACACCCTTTTCACGTTCAGTGGCCCCACGGGGAGCTCCACCGAAGGCCCCATTGCCAGCGCGCGCATGCGTCACGCACACCCAAGTCAGCACACCTTTCACACGCTTCGTGGCCCTATAGAGAGGCCCACCGAAGGCCCCAATGCCAACGCCAGCATGCGTCACGAACGCCCATTTCGGCACACCCTTCTCACGCTTCGTGGTCCCATCGGGAGCTCCCCCGAAGGCCCCAGTGCCACCGCCGGCACGCGTCACGCACACCAATTTCGGCACACCTTTCACACGTGTCGTGGCCCCATAGGGGGCCCCACCGAAGGCCCCAGTGCCACCGCCCGCATGCGTCACGCACACCCATGTCGGCACACCCTTCTCACGTTTCGTGGCCCCACAGGGAACTCCACCGAAGGCCCCAGTGCCACCGTCCGCATGCGTCACGCACACCAATTCCGGCACACCTTTCACACGTTTTGTGGCCCCATACGGGGCTCCATCGAAGGCCCCAGTGCCAACGCCCGCATGCGTCACGCACACCAATTTCGGCACGTTCCCCACACGTTTCGTGGCCCCATCAGGAGCTCCACCGATGGCCCCAGTGCCACCGTCCGCATGCGTCGGCACACCCCTTCACACGTGTCGCGGCCCCACAGGGACTTCCATTGAAGGCGCCAGTGGCTGCGTTCGCATGCGCCCACCGTGCCCGTTTCGGCACGCCCACAACACGTTTCGCGGCACCATAGGGAATTCCACCGAAGGCCCCAATTGCTGCGTTCGCATGCGCCCACCGCGCCTACTCAGCACAACTTTCACGCCCTTCGTGGCCCCATAAGGAGCTCCACCGAAGGCCCCAGTGGTTGCTTTCGCATGCGCCCACCGGACATATTTTGGCACACCCATCACACGCTCTGTGGCCCTACAGGGTCCGCCGAATGCGGTGCGTACAACGAATGCATTCACAACTACATATGGTTGGGCCTTTCGCCAGGCTAATTGTTTTTGATTTGAGTTTTCCCATATCCAGAGGACGGGGTTGTCGTGATTCCCCACCCTTCCAAACGATGGGTTTCTTGTCGTTACTCCGACGGCGCCGAGAAGCCCCCCCCCGTCCCTCTTCCTCTTCCTTCTCATGTTACGTTATGGTGTGTTACTGTGTTACTCTATAGTGGTGTAGATTATGTTATGTTATGGTATGTAGATGATGGTGATGTTGCTGATGATGATGACGGCTTCGATGATGATGTGGATGATGATGATGATGATGATGATGATGATGATGATGATGATGAGGATGGTGATGATGATGACGATGCTGGTGCTGATGATGGTGATGATGATGATGCTGATGATGATGGGGCGGATGACGATGATGATGATAACGATGATTATGATGTTGATGATGGTGGCGGTGATGATGATGATGATGATGCGGATGATCATGATCATGATCATGATCATGATCATGATGCTGATGATGGTGATGATGGCGGAGAAAGTCTGAGGATGTCTCGAGCGAGGCGCGAATTTTAGCACCCCCCGAGGGGGGCCGCCAGGGTGTATCTCACTCCTCCGTTCGCGCCAAAATCGAAGGGGTGTCTCGAGCGGTTTGTCAGTTAACCAGCGCAGCATCATCCGTTTTCGGAGCAGATTTTGAGGATGTCCCAAGCGAGGCGCTGATGTTCGCACCACGGGGGGGCCGGAACTTGAGGATGTCTCGAGCGGTTTGCTTGGTTTGCTGGCCAGACTCTTGAGCACGCATCCTCCCCAGGATGCCGCAAAAGGCCACAGGGTGCCTCAGGAGGTACCAGGAGGCATCAGGAGGCCACAGGAAGGCTCAACAGGCCACAGGAGGCTTCAAGAGGCTCCCGGAAGCCCCAGGAGGCCCCAGGAGGCTCCAGGATGTTCCAGGAGGCCACAGGAGGCCACAGGAGGCCCCAGGAGGCTCCAGGAGGCCCCAAGAAGTTTCAAGAGGCCCCAGCAAGCATCGGAGGCCCCAAGAGGCCACAGGAGGCCTCGGGAGGCCACGGGAAGCCCCAAAAGGCCCCAGGTGGCCCTAAGAGGCCCCAGAAGGCCCCAGGACGCCCCAGAAGGTTTTAGGAGACCCCAGCAGGCCCCAGGCGCATGCTCAGAGGCGCACCCGTACTACTGAGACTCATTCACATTTCTTTTCATTCACAGTGTGATTCACTCCCAGACCGCCAAGACTCAAGCCCGCTCATATTCGAAAACTGATGTGCCTACACAGTCACGGCGGACAGGTCCATGCAAATAGGTGCACATTTGGGGAGTTTCAGGCAGTGACGAATTCTTCCGAATGTACCGACTCTTCTTCTTTCTCGCTCAGAGAGAGGTATTCATACTCAGGGCCATTTCGAGGGTCACTGCTCAGCTTACGATGATGATGGTGATGCTGATTCTGATGATGATGAGGATGATGCTAATGATGGTGATGATGATGATGATGATGATGATGATGAGGATGGTGATGGTGATGGCGATGGCGATGGTGATGGTGATCATGATGCTGATGATGCTGATGATGCTGATGATGATGATGCTGATGATGATGAAGCTGCTGCCGCTGATGATGATGATGATGATGATGATGCTGATGATGATGATGATGATGATGATGATGGTGGTGGTGGTGGTGGTGGTGGTGGTGATGATGATGATGATGATGATGATGATGATGATGATGATGATGATGATGATGATGATGATGATGCTATGGAGCAGTTGTTGAGGATGTCTCGGGTGACGCGCTGGTTTCAGCACACCCCAGGGGCCGCCAGGGGGTATTGCACTCGTCCGCTCGCGCCCAGAATGCGGCCAGGTCTCGAGCGGTCTGCCGGCTCCCTGCCGCAAGATCCTCTTGCTCTCGGACCAGATGTGGAGTACGTTTCTGGCGAAGCGCTGGCTTTCGCACCTCGGGGGGCCCAGATCGCGCGGATGTCTCGAGCGGGTTGCTTGTTTGGGTGGCTAGGCTTGTGGGCACGGATCCTCCGCGGGATGCCACCAGAGGTTCCGGCAGGCTCAAGGAAACCCCAGGAGGCCACAGGAGGCCACAGGAAGGCTCGAGAGGCCACAGAAGGCCCCAGGAGGCTCCGGGGTGTTCCAGACGGCCACAGGAGGCCCCATTAGGCCAAAGGAATTCCCAGGAGGCCCCAAAGAAGCTCCAGGAGGCCCCAGAAGCACCAGGAGGCCACAGGAGGCCATAGGAGGCTATAGGAGGCCCCAGGAAGCGCCAGGAGGCACCAGGAAGTTTCGGAAAGCCCCATGAAGCCCCAAGAGGCCCCAGGAGCAGGACGCCTCAGAAGGCAACAGGAATGGCTCCAAGGCCCGGTGTTTTACGTATGTTCCTGTAGATTGGACCTCCCCTGGAGCACGAATCTTTTTTTGTTTTACGAATGTTTCTATCGATTGCTCTTCTCCTGCGCATCCAATCCTATGTGTTTTACATATGTTCCTGTAGACGTTGGTTCCTACAGATTGCCCCTCTCCTGTGGCTTCAATCCTGTGTATTTTAAGTACGTTCCTATAGATTGGGCCTCTCCTGCGGCACAATCCTCCCCAGGAGGCCCCAGGAGGTTCCAGGAGGCCACACGAGGCCCCAAGGGGGGGCCCCAAGGGGGGGCCCAGGAGGCCACAGGAAGCTCCAAGAGGCCCCAGGAGGCCTCAAGAGGCCCCAGGAGATCCCAAGAGGCCCCAGGAGGCCCCAGCAAGCCCAAAGAGGTGTCAGGAGGCCCCAGGAGACTCCAGGCTCATGCGCAGAGACGTGCCCGTACTACTGAGACTCATGCACCATCCAACTCAATTCAAAATTAGATTCACTCCCAGACCGTCAATACCAAAGCCCGTTTATACTCGAAAACGCTTGTGCTTAGACACTCATGGCGGACAGGTCCATGCTAATGGATGCACAGATGGAGAGCCCCACGCAGTGAATGTGGTGTTTATTGTGAGTGTTATTGTTGATTGCTTGGTTGTATATATGTAT